ATTCTCTTTATGATTTGCACTTCACTTAGAAAATAGCATTAGGTTTGTCAGTGTACATTTTGTCTTAATACAGTGTTGCAGTAGTTGCTAGGCTTCAAATATTTCTGCCATGGTGTTGTGTGCACTCTTACCATGTCCGTACCGCCACAGATAACTCTTCAGCTCGGGGAAGGAAGCACTGAATGGTTCCATTTCCTAGAATAGCTGGACCCGATGGGTTGTCAAAATTAAATTCAGCTTAGCAGACTGTTAGTCACGTTAATATTTGATCCACAATGACAGTTCCAGTCAGCAAGAATGCAGCATCTTTCAGGATCGCCCGCCCTATTGACAGGCAATGCTCAATCACTTCTTCATACACTGACTTGAGCTGTTCCTATAGATTGTGCTCTGATTACTTAGGATAAAACATTAAGTGCTGGATGTATATTAGCTGCACTTGGGGAAAAGGCCACAAACCCAGTAGCTACTGAACAGAAGACACAAATATAATATTTATATTATTTGACAGTATTCTAACCGGTATTTTATTAGACTCAAACATCTGTCTTGTAAAGAACCAAACTTAAACCAAGTTTGATTCTTAAAAATATTTGAACAATTTTGTCTCGCTTATTTAGCAGTGACTTAATTTGGTTGCCGTGACAAACTATAATGCAGTAAACTGAAGAGTTGCATTCTCCAAAAAAAAGACAAAAGCGAAAGTTTTTCTTCATTATCATATTACTGGCATGAAAATTATTGAAATGCATTGAAATATTGCATTAACTGCATCAAAAAGCTAATTGAAAATAAGCATGATTTCATTAAATTAAGCTTTGTTTTTTGAAATCAGGTATTCAGAATTGCTTGAGAAGATCAGGAAAGGAGATGAGAAAGCAATATTGCGTCATACCCAAAGAAACAAGAAGCTACTTGCTCGTGACCGCCTGAGAATGCTCCTTGATGATGAACCTTTCCTTGAGCTTTCCCCTTTTGCAGGCCATAATTTGCCATATGGTGATATCCCTGCCGCTGGATGCCTCACTGGTAATTATTAAAGCCTCCAACATTATGTGGAACAGGAAGATTATTACAATGTGACTGTTTACTGTTAGTAAATCTTAATATCATGCATAAAGGGTTTCTAGGTCATTACAGTGCTCAGATTGCTTTGTAGTCACTTTTAGTGATCATAAAGCTTGGTAGAGGTTGAGAATCTAGTTTCTGCCCATGCTCCCATGACAGTTCACTGAGAAGAAGAATACAGCTGGTTTCAGATATAAGCCAGAGATAGGGACACAATCTGTTTCATTTTCTTTCCCCCAGTTATACCAATATGTAATTTCCATTAGCATGAATAAAAGTGATAGTATTTTGTTTATGTAGGGGTGAGAATATTCTTTAGAAATCCTGTGAGGGGGATCTATTATGGGCATTTCCAGATAAAGAGAAACTTGGTAGTCTAGCAGGTTATCCCTTGCCAAAATGAAAGAGTTCAGCTCACTGGTTTTAATATTTCCTTCTGATTTTGAAATCCTTGAAAATATATTTTGTTTTTTCTCTTCTGACACTTCTTATTTATTTTCAATACATTATCTTCTGGGTTTCATATTTTGTTCTACTTAGGCAGCAACAATTGATTTCTGTCTCAAAAGCCTGAATATGGTATTTCAAACACACTAACCAAGTCTTTCCAGTCAAGTAAAGAAAAAATGAATTGCGGAGTGACCCACCCACATGGGCACTCTAGTATTTATCATAGAGTTGTTCTCAAACCATCACAATGTGCAGAAAGACCAGCACATATGGAAAAAGACCAGCTTGGCTTATCGGGGAACTCAAGTCTTCAGTAAGCTAAATCAGAAAAAGGAAGCTTATTAGAAGTGGAAACTTGGACAAACAACTCGGGAGCAGTATAAGAGTATTGCTTTGGCATACAGGGATGAAGTCAGGAAGGCCAAAGCGCAATTGGAGTTGCAGCTAGCAAGGGATGTGAAGGGTAACAAGAAGGGTTTCTATAAGTATGCCAGTAACAAGAGGAGGATCAGAGAAAGTTTGGGTCCCTTACTGAATGGGGGAGGCAATCTAATGACAGAGGATGCAGAAAAGGCTGAAGTACTAAATACTCTTTTCACCTCAGTCTTCACAGGCAAGGTCAGCTCCCACACTACTATACCAGGTAGCATAGTTTGGGGAAGAGTTGAGCAGCCAGCTGTGGCAAAAACTATTTAGAAAAGCTGGACATACAGAAGTCCATGGAGACAGACAAGATACACCCAAGGGTGCTGAGGGATTTGGCCAGTGTGATTCAAGAACCAATGGCCATCGTCCTTGGAAACTCACGGTGATAGGGAGAGGTCCCAGATGATCAGAAAAGGCCAATATAGTGCCCATATTTAAGACAAGGAAAAAGGAGGATCCAGGGAACTAACTACAGACTGAGTGATCATCCTCACCTCAGTCCCCGGAAAAATGGAGCAGGTTCTCAAGGAATCCATTTCTAAGCGCTTGGAGAAGGTGATTAGGAACAATCGGCATGGATTCACCAGGGGCAAGTCATGCCTGACCAACCTGATTGCCTTCTGTGATGAGATGACTGGCTCTGTGGATGCAAGGAGACCAGTGGATGTGGTGTACCTTGACTTTAGCAAGGTTTTTGATATGGTCACCCACAACATTTTCACAGGCAAGCTAAGGAAGTACGGGTTGGGTGAATGGACTGTGAGGTGGGTAGAAAACTGGCTGGATTGTCAGGCTCAAAGGGTAGTAGTTAATGGACATGTCTACATGTTGCCGTACGGCAATGTTGCTATGGCACTGTGCTTTAGTACTGAAGCACAGCACAGTATGGGCAGTTACTGCGCCATGTGTGCAGCACATGGTTAGAGTTTGCCACTGTCACTGTAGCAATGCACTATATGGGGCAGTGGACCCATGTGATCACTACATCGCAGTGGCACACCATACAGCTACATAGTGCATTGCTGTGGCACCATAGGGTAATGTGTACATGTGCCCAATGGCTAGATGTTTATCTGGCAGCCAGTATCAAGTGGAGTGCCCCAAGGATCAGTCCTGGGGCAGGTTATGTTTAATATCTTCATCAATGACCTGAAAGATGGATAGAGTGCACCCTCAGCAAGTTTGCAGATGATGCCAAGCTGAGGGAAATTGTTGATACTCTGGAGGGTAGGGCTAGGATTCAGAGTGACCTAGACAAATTGGAGGATTGGGCTAAAAGAAATCTCGTGAGCTTCAATAAAGACAAGTGCAAAGTCTTGCACTTAAGCAGGAACAGTCCCATGCATCAGTACAGGCTGGGGCTGACTGGCTGGGCAGCAGCTCTACAGAAAAGGACCTGGGGGTTACAGTGGACAATAAGCTGAATATAAGCCAACAGCATGCCAAGTGTTGCCAAGAAGGCTAACAGCATAGTGGGCTGCATTGGTAGGTGTGTTGCCAGCAAGTCGAGGGAAATGATTATTCCTTACTCTATTCAGTACTGGTGAGGCCACATCTGGAGTACTGTGTTCAATTTTGGGCCCCCACTACAGCAAGGATGTAGACAAATTGGAGAGAGTGTAATGGAAGGCAATGAAAATGGTTAGCGGGCTGGGGGACATGACTTCTCACTAGAAGGGTAGTAAAATACTGGAACAGGCTACCCAGAGAGATTATGGAATCCCCTTCCTTGGAGGTTTTTAAGACCCAGCTAGACAAAGCCTTGGCTGAGATGATAGACCAGCTGGGGATGGTTCTACTTTGAGCAGGGAGTTGGACTAGATGACCTCCTGAGGTCCCTTCCAACCCTGATTTTCTATGATTCAAACTGTAGGCATGATGCATGACTTTTTTGCTACTAGGTATTCAGAATGCATAACAAAAATTATACCTGCCATCCATTATAGACTCACGTATTTATTTGCAGCTGCCATGATTGCCTAACAGAAAGGTGTTCTTTTAAATAGGTTGTCACTAAAACTATTTCAGTGGGTTTTCCACGAGGCATGTGTACACAATGTCTTGTGTTAGGGTTTAAGTGGTATTTCAACTGTTGTGTGGGCCTTTTGTGCTAGGGTGAGTATTTCTTGTAAGTATTTCAATGAACCATTTTTGAAGAGGTAGCACATAGCTTTTAAGGGAAGAGGAGAGACTAAATTAGATATGCTGGGGATCAGATTAGTAAATGGTGCCTGATAACAAAAAACCTCACCTTACTGCATTTCAGAGCTCAGTTTTGTGCTAAAAGTAACCATACATACAGTATCAGGAGGTTTGAGATTTCATCGATGATTTTTTTTTTTTTTTTTTTTACCATCTGTTTTATTTTAATGTAAATCTGTGATTCTAGTTACAATCATAGAATCATGGACAATTAGGGTTGGAAAGAACCTCAGGAGGTCATCTAGTCCAACCCCTGATCAAAGTAGGATCATCCTCAACTGTATCATCCCGCCCAAGGCTTTGTCTAGCTGGGTGGGATGATTTAGTTGTCTTGCACTTGCACTTGAAGAGCATGAAGTCAATTTGGCTTCTTTCTTTCTCATGTATTATCATCAGTAATAAAGGTGTGGCAGGTCAAATTCTGCCTTCAGAATAGGGCTATCTATGTCTGTTGTAAGGTTACAGAGAAGGATGGTTCCCTTCAATATAGGATCTGTAGCTTTATTAGCAAGTGGGTAAATATAGACAGCCTTAACTCAAAAGAACACATTAGATGTATTTGAGCTTTGCTGTTCAATCTATGATACAATTACAAAATGCCCATGCCTGGGTTATTTTTTTTATTGCTTGTTTTGGGGAATTGTGGTTGTTTGTAAAGAGTCTGGGATAAACATCTGTGGGTCCTGTTACAGGAATTGGAAAAATCTGTGGACTCTGGTGTGTCTTTATGGCACATGATGCAACAGTAAAAGGAGGGACCCTTTTCCCTATTGGAGTGAAGAAAAACCTGAGAGCTCAAGAAATAGCAATTCAAAACAGGCTTTTATCTGTGTATCTGGTTGACAGCGGGGGAGCATTCTTACCACTACAGGTAAGATTGGATATAATATGTGGTATGAAAATAGCCACTTCCTGTCTTCATCTTATTAATTTTTAAATCAAATCTCATAAGATTTATTTTTGTGATTTTTTTGGTGGGCTGCCTTTCATTTTGTCTCTTATATGCTAACCAAACGGTACAAACAAATCAAAGTCCTTTCTGACTGATCTTGCATGTAACTGACACCAACATGATCAAAGTTCATAAACATGAGTCTAACAGAAAATCAAATTGCTGGCCCACCAAGCTATATCAATGCTCAAGGTGGCTAGAAGATAAAAACACTGTTTTCAACTTAATTTTTTTTTTCAATTTGAAAATGCATGTGAGACACAAGGATTTTTGTGAGTGGTATCTTTTATTGGACCAACTGCATGGTTGAAATAATTAGAAATTTTGTTTTAAAATGTACACTAGTAAATCTGGGAGCATGTATCAAGGATTGGCTCCATAAAAACAGAGACTTTCTATTTACTGTAATAGGACAGAGAGAGCTTGTAAAGGTCATAAATGCCTTCTTTGTCACTGCATCAAATTCAAGTTACCACAAAGAATGAGAGTTCTCAGTACATGTGACTCTGCATTTGTAGTATAGAAGACTGTGGATATTGTTGCTGATTTAGGGTTGAAGCAATACGTGTATAGATATCTTAGAGAAGCAAACTGGAAAGCTATAAGATAAAATCCCTGTCTTTCTAGAAGTTGTGAATAACTTGTTTTCTTTTGTGAATAGACAGTGGAAAGGCTAAGCATTGGCTTTTGTTATTGAAAATCCTTGGTAAAAACTGTGCTTTTCTTTTCCCTGCAATGTCAGGCAGACCTCTTTCCTGACCGATCACATGGTGGTAGAGTCTTCTACAATGAGGCAATAATGTCTGCTATGAAAATCCCTCAGGTACATTGTCATGCTGAATATGTATGAAGATACTGTATGTGGTTAACAGATTTATGAGAAACATTTCCAACAATACAAATTCTAGAATCAAAGTATGCATAAGCAAAAATACTTCCTGACCCTGTTTTCAGATGTTGACATAGACATTCAAATGATAGAAGTTGTACTATAAACATCGCATCATGTGGTATCTTTGTCCCCTGTCTGGCCAGGCAGCAATAGTTGCAGCTGTGGTGGTGGCAACTCCAGCCCTGGCCCCAGACCAGGACTGGGTGGGAGCTGGGGTTGGGTTGGAGTCACTGGCACTGCTGGCTAGGCTGGGCAAGGGCTGGAACCACCATGTGCTTTGTGCCTGAGGCTGGAGCTGCAACACAGTAAGCAGTAGCAGGGGAGAAGGTGGTGAGGTGTAGAGGTTGCACAGGGGCAGTGGCTACAACTCTGACTCCAGGTTAGGGTCAGAGCGAGAGCCACAGCAGCTGCCTGCCCTGCAACCCCTCCCACTCTCCCCACTCAAATCCAAGACAAGGAGCATTTTTTCTCTATGTTGAATGAGGGGGGGGGAAAAAACCATGTCTTGGATTTGAGTAAATAAATATGGTAATCTGTATATCTGATTAAAGTCTATAATGCCAGTCAATATTTGGGAGTATCATGGAACATATCTTTCTTTGCATCCACCCCTACGAAACACACAACCTATTTATTTTCAGGAATGTAACCAGGTAGATGGCTTGTTTGGTTGTACCTGACCTTACTGCTCTTTCACAACTAGAATTTAGCAGCTGCAAATATACAATGTTATGGTTAAAATAAAGGGCTTGTTAACCAAGCTTGTGAAATCTTTAATCAATATATATTATGTCTCAAAAATGCCTAAAATGTAAAAAGTGCACCTAGCTGTGATTTCTTCTTACACAGGTATCTTGCTTTGTCCTGTAGGTGGCAGTAGTGTGTGGTTCTTGTACAGCTGGGGCTGCCTATTGTCCTACCATGACAGAAGAAACTGTGATTGTAGATAAAATCGGTACTATGTTCCTTGGCGGACCACCTCTGGTAAAAGCTGCCACAGGGGAAGATATTACACCTGAGGAACTAGGAGGAGCCAAACTTCACACTAAGTAGGTATAATGTTTGTCAAAAGGGGAATCAAGTAAGATAGTAAGTCAGTACACTTAAAGTAGCGTTCATTTGTAAGTAGTAATGGGGCTAAAGAGATTTCAGATGACTGCAGTGACAGGACATTATCTGGCTTAAAAGATAGGAATGGTGCCTTAGAAACACATTAGAAATGATATAGGAATAGCTTTAAAAGGTGGTGACATTTAGTGCATATGTGGGACTGCTCATATTCAGTGCTGCTGAGAACTTAATGCAGAGATAGGCAAAGTCCAGTCTGTGGGCCAGATCCCGTCAGCCAGGGACTTCATTTCCCAGCTGCCCCTGCCTGCATGGAGACCGCAGCCACACCTGTGTGGGAAAGCCAGGCTGGGCTTGCCATAGAGATCAGCCTCAGCCATGCAGGCAGCACACACAACAGAACAGTGCAGGGGGCTGCTCTGGAGCTTCTGGGAACTTGGGTTGGGGGCAGCTTGCTCCGGAGCCTGGGCAGAGTCGCGATCTGTAGCCTGCATGCTCTGGGCAGGCATGTGTAAGCAGAGGATCACAGCTCTGCCCTGGCTCCAGACCATGCTGTCACTGCTGCAGGGAGCTGTGGCTGCCCCCTGACTTAAGGGCTTTTCTTTGTGGTGGTTTTTTGGGTTTTTTTTAAGTCTTCCAGTTATACAATGTAACATTTTAATTTCTTATTCTTTACCCAGCTCTCCATTTTCCAAAGTAGTGCTTGATCCTGAGTACTAATGAAGTAGGCTTCAGTAGGAATTTTATCTATACAGCTGTTAAGACTATATGTATACATTAAAAGACTATGAGCTACTTAAGTCTGTGGTAATGGAGCTGTTAATTTTTTTCTCCATAAACTGGCCTGTGGAGAACTGGGTCCTCTTTGTTGCCTTTTAAGTGCCTACAAAAGCATGGAAACATTTCACTGCAAGAAAAAGCCTTGATGCTTATAAGGGCTACTTAAAAAACAAAAAAACAAAAAGCCAAAAGGAAGAGCCAGTTCCTCTTCCTCCCTCCCTTCTATTTCCAATTTCTTAAGAGCTACTGATTTAAGGGAAACATCATTTTTCTTTTTATTGTTACAAATATTGTAAACTCAACATACTGAAGATGACTAGAAAAGCCATTTTCCTGAATAGAATTACACAGGTAGATGGCTTGCTCACAAATCTCACTTGCTTGAGGTTTTCAAGAAGAGTCTGGATAAGCATTTCACTGGGATGGCTTAGGAAACTGATTCCTACATCTGTGCAAGCAGTGGACTAAATAGTCCTTGGGCGCCTTTCCAGCCCTGACATTGTGATTATAAGCTCTCACTTTTATTTGTACAATTTGTTATTATAATGTCTCTTTTAGAGTCAGTGGCTGTCTCGATCATTTTGCATCTTCAGAGAAGGAAGCATATGAATGTGTGCGAAATATTATTTCAACGCTGAATTTTGAACTTCCACCAGAGGAGACCACAGAATATGATGATCCACTCTATAGTGCTGATGAGCTCTTGGGACTTGCACCACGAAGTTATAGTTATACTTTGCCTATAAAACTGGTAAGAAGGACAAGTGCTGTATCAGTTCATCATCTTTAAATGGCTAATTACCCTAGTATTTGGAAGTTAAAGGACATCCTTCCCTTGGATAATTGGTTTGGAAATCCTAAAATGCACAAGTTATTCCACATTACATATTGTTGATGTGATGGTCCTGAAAGTACCAGATATGACCATTTTCTACAATACAGGCCATAAAGCCTACATAAACAGAACATACCATTTAGAAAAATATTCAACTTCGACTTAAATGTCCCTTAAAAGAAATACTTTTCTTTGTAGATTCTGAGCCGTCTGATAGATGGAAGCAGATTCCAGGAATTCAAAGCTGAATATGGAACAACTTTAGTAACGGGATTTGCCCATGTGGAAGGGTAAGACTGTAAGAATTTATTATGAAAGAGGTCAAACAGTTTTGTTTTAAGAAGTTTGTATACTATCATCATGTTTTATGCTATTCCTGTAAAAGCAAATGGCATTTATACACATATCTTTTAGTGCTGCGACACACCAGAGATCCGATGCATCAGAGCAGATTCGATTAATCAAGTCTGCTCCTCACATAAGCTGATGTGCACTGCGCTGCGTCTCATGCAGTTGTATAAATGGTGAAATGCACATCGGCACTGAGAAAATGGCAGTGGCATGTTTTTTAACTAAAACATGGATGGAAGGTGTTTTAGTTAAAAAATGCACCGTCACTTTTAGTGGACCACCACATTTAGTTCAAATGACCACTGCCATTTCCTCAGTGCTAACACTCATTTCACCATTTATGCAAATGAATGCGCTGTAGTGCCAGGCACTTTTAAAAGCTCCTGACACTGCAGTGCAGATGTGTACTAATGCTCTATGCTTCTAGATGGGTCAAGGATTAATATAAAGATCTCTCTCCATAGCCCAGTCATGCATTCTAGGTTCAGCATTCAGACTTGTCAAAGCTGATAGTGTCTAAGCATTACGAGCTGATGTCTGTTTCATCACTGAAATGAAGGAGTGGCACAGTCTGGTTTGTAGCTGAAAGGTAGTTTGTTGGCAGGCTCAGCAAATGCATTAAGGCCTGAAGGCTGAACATTTATGGGAGTGCCCCTTCTAAAGCTAGGCACAAGCATGTGAGGGAGGCTTTCGGAGGGAGCTTGCATTGCCGCTTCTTGTGTGGTGCAGTGGATAAACAAATTCCTTCACTCTCCCCAGACTGTTACTCTGCCAGATTTCACCAGCACTAGATTCATTATCTTAAAAAAGGAAACAAACGTTACGTGTGTAAGAGAGACACCTACTTTGAAAATCTCTCTCCTTTAAAAAGGTTAAATTTAACACTAAACATTACTGGCAAGTGAATCATTTTGCTAGAATTAATAAAGCATTAGAATCAGGCTAATTGATTTCCACTGAGACGAGATGAATATTTGATATCTAAGGCACACTTTCCATTATGATGAAAAAACAGATTATACAGACAAGTGTACTGGGCATATATGTCTGACTTGCTGCCATGATTAGTTTGAGAGGTTATCAAAATGATATAACTGATTAGCAGTTATTTCTATGTTTTCCTTAGTTTTTGGAGTTGGGTGCTGTGTTGAATGCTTTATTCAGAGTCCCTGCTCTGAACAAAGCACAGCCTTGAATGGACATGCTTAACCTTCATGGAAAGTTAGAAGCCTAGCTTGATCTTAGTTGAAGCTGTTGAATATGCAGCTTCATGCAGAATATTCATTACTGGTGCAGAAAAAATAGAATGCCCTGTAAAAACATGACTATTTTTCTTCAAGCTACACAGTTCACTTACTAAATCTCAATAGTTTATACTTCTGAAGAAAGCTTGTTTCAAGATAGACTAAACTAGAAAGAAACAAATAACCACAGTCTGATTTTTCTCTGGCAGAAGCACTTGTAGCCTTGCCATGTAAACTCTCTAGTTGTGCCTTTCCTTATTCACTTGGAGCACCTCTAAGCCCTGATCCCTTTCAGCACTATTTTTGGACTGGGATTTGGGATGTTTAAAAAAAACAAAACAAGCTAGTGTTAACTAAACCATATCAGTGGATGTGGGGAAGGAGAAGCTAGTAGGTAAACAGAATTTTAATCCTTTTTCAAGGGTTTCCCAAGTGACCAGCTATTTGTGAAAAGAAAGACTTGTAATTACAACATCAAAAATGGCTTTTCTCTTACGTTTGTGTCTATACATGATCTGTTTACGTGCTCAGTGCATACCAAAAAGATTACATTACTGATGGTTTTATAATCTGTGGTACTAGATGTAATTAGTTTATGCATATTTTATATTCTCCACGTTTATTCAGAAACATATATTGAAGCTTAAACGTCAGAAGTGGCAGTAGATTAAATTTTCTACATTTGAGTGACATTTCATACAGGAAGGTTATTACTATATAATATACTATTTTAACACATTCATTTGACAGAAAACATTACTAGACTTTTAAAGGAAGCTTGCAGAAATTAAATGCCTTTTCAGATTTACTTGTGGTTTAAATTAGCATTAGGTGTTAATGAGTGAAATATTGTGCGTTACACTATGGTATAAGGTGTCAGGAAAATTGGGCTGCATTTTTAAGCTTGTGTATGGTCTGTATGATGTTTACCAGGTCACTTCACATCCCTGTGCTTCTCGGTGCACGTGGCTTCCCTGCTCCTTACGGGCACTGCAAGGTCTCATGTTTGGAAAACACTTTGAGTTACTTGAATGAAAGGAAGTGTATGAGCATAAAGGCTTTAACATATATAGGCTGTCTTGTGGATCATTCTCCACAACTAATACTTGCACGACTGGACACTTATATTTTGTTTTTCAGTTCATTAGTGACTACATTTCACCATTCAAGTACAAAAAAATGAAAGTGTTCATATGTGTTTTGTTAGACATCTAGTTGGAATAGTGGCTAACGATGGGGAGCTGACTCATGATGCTTCTCTAAAGGGAAGTCACTTTGTGCAGCTGTGCAGTCAGCGAAGTGTTCCCATCCTGTTTCTCCAGAATACTGCGCCGCACACAGCAGACCCAACAAGTCTCTCACAGGTATGGATGGCATCTTTATTCAGTAGACTTTATTTAAGTTGTTCCTAGTTCTTGTCCTGACTTGCATATCATTATCACTGAAAATTATTCTGTTAAGAATCAGCTGGTTTGCTGAAAATCTGCTTATTTTTATGGGTCAGCCAAACAGCTATTTTTTTTCTTAATCTTCACTAGTGTCACCATTTCCTCCTATTGTTATCTTTATCCACATATTTTACTTAGCAACTTTAGATGTTCTCCTGGAGAGATCAGAGATCCAGCCCTCCGAATCAATGGTAAAATGGTAAAACTTACAATTCATAGTGCTTTTAAGTTCTGACAGCTTTTCATGTAGGTCAGTGGTTGGTAATGTTTTTGTGGCAGCAGATCAGAATGACACAGCTTGGGTCCAGGGTAGGCTAGTGTGGAGACCTGATTGCCATCACTACTTCCCCCCCACTAACTGGCTGTCATGTAGTGTGGACAAAGCTCCCTGCTGCCAAAACCCCCATCTCCAGGTTGAATCCAATGGCTCCACAGTCCTAGATGTGGCCCATGGGCCATATAGTTGCCAACCTGGCATAGGTGGCTGAGTACTATCTTTATTCTACAGCTGGTAAAATGGAGGCAAAATTTTAAGTAGCATTTTAGGTCACACAAGGTGCGTCTACATATGCTTTTACACGTGCCTAAACTTAATACACATTTGCCTAATGTGCATTAAGGCGATTTAGGCGTGCATCTACACATGTATGTGCTAATGCGCGTTAGCTTGGTGTGCGTGATGTAGACCCGTGTCCTTAATAAGCCTTAAAAATGGCTAATGCACCTTAAATTGGCACATGTAGACATGCCCAGAGAGAACAGTAGAACGTGATGAGTGACCACAGAACTGATCTTTTCACATGTCACTTCCCTAACTCTGCTTTTTTATATATACGCTGGAATTTGACACCCTGGAAATGAAGCCAGATACAGTTGTGCTGTATCTAAGTGTCACCAGCGTAGTCAGAGCTAGAGTCACTCTAGAACCCGGAACTTAGTGTAGCAGAACAGTCCTTTGAGACCATAGAACAGTGATTCTCAAACTTTTTAGAGTCAGCGCATCCCTTGGAAAATACTGGTTCTTAGTTTTCACTTTTATTGAATGCAGAAAAATAATAGAGCAGTTTTTCTGTTGCAAAGAACTCATAAACCTCAACTATGGATTTGTCTTTGAAATCTCTCAGTTTATCTTGTGAAACATGTTTGCAAACTTAACAGTGCTAGCATTGTGTAGCCATGCCATGTTGGGTAAGAATCCTTGCCATAGAGGCTATAATTATTTAACTAATCTATAAAATGATTATGGTAATATGTTATACTTTCTAGTTTATTTCTGCTGTCTTCTTGACTTCCTTATTAAAAAAAAAAACTGATTATGTAAAATTTTATAGAAAGAAATCCTTAGATACAGTAAAAGTTTAGCAGGAGTGGAGGGATCTAGACAAAAAAATTATAAGAATTAACAGGACTTAATCTATATTTTACTTTCAGGCAGAGGATCATACCAATAAATTAAAGGCCCAGGCCTCCATGATGGCTGCAGTCGCTTGTGCTGCTGTACCCAAAATAACCCTTGTTGTTGGCGGCTGCTATGGGAATGAAAGTTATGCTATGGTATGGCTAGCAGAAGTAATGGCTCATATATTAGGTAATATTTGACTTGTCACAAGTTTTTTAAGCCTTCATAGTGTTTAAAGTTCATATCTCAGTCTCCCATTGGCACAAGCATTCCATTTTGTTCATTACATTATTCAGTTTTAAAATAATTGATGTAACTGGAGTAAGTTTGGTACCCAGTCCTTGAACGTGGAAATTGGTTTTAAAAAGTTAACGATCTGAAATTATGTATAATAAGGACCAAACACTGCCCTTGTTCCTCACCATATGCTTTCTGCAGTCAGTGATGAAGGGCTACTTGTTCCTTAGCTGTGTTATGTGTGCTAACAAAAAGCTCAGTTGGGAGTACTTGCATGCTTAAAAAGTATGTGAGTACTTGCAGGGACAGTGTTCTGCTACACTGCTCTGCTACATATGCAAAGACAGTTGAAAATGCAGTCTTACCTCACATTCTGTGAGGTGCTGAGTGTCCATAACTCTTGAGTGAAGGACAGTGATGGTTGTACAGGTCAGCACCTCACAGGGTGAGGCCCTCTATCAGTAATACTTTATGAGTTAAACATATATTGCATTTTGTTCATTGAGGATTTAATGCATTATTCAGTATGAATGGTCCATTTTTTGTTCAGCTTGCATTGTCTCTTGCTTTTTTTCCTATAGTGCGGGAGGTCATTTGATCCAAACTTTCTGTTCCTGTGGCCTAATGCAAGAGTTGCCCTTGTGGATTCAGGACATTTCTCCACATTCCCGGAAGCTGGGGATGGGTGCTCAAGAGGTGAATCAGAGTTAAAGCAACTAAAGGAAAAGTAAGTACGTTAACTGTAAGTGAAGGGGGTTATTCTTACGATTGGATTGATTTCACTATCAGTTTTTGTTTATTTTTCAAAACAGCCCAGAGTGGGATTTGCCCTCTAAAAATGAGTGAGGTGCTTCCTGGTGGCCACTTAAATCCCATCTTTTCTCTGGTTAATCTGGGTACCTCCCTGTACTTGCGTGCCATCCCCTTGATGTTATTTTATATTCAGGAGGCTGCCCTATCCAGCGTGATTCCTGCACCCTTCAGCTCTGTCTTTCTGGGCTCTTGGCCCCTCCGGCTTAGTTCAGTTCACTGGGCTTGCACCCCTTAGACTGAGCCCCCAGCCTCCAATAGTCCTTTGTCAATTTTAGTACCTTCCCCAGGTGCCCTCAGTGGACTCCCTCTGCCCCTTCAGTCACTCCCATGCCTTATAATGCAATGAGCAAAACTCCACCACAAATAGTTTACAGCTGGAGGCGCTTTGTTAAAGACCCTCCACAGGCTCCTATTCAGTCCCACTGACTTCTGTCAGCTCTGGCCATCCTGGGCCTACTTGCAATTCCCTCGGTCTCTGGCCCTCCTTCTCAGCTTTATGCAAGGAGCTTCTTCTGCTTGCACAGCCTGAGCGCAACCTCTAGGTCCCAGCAGGGAGCTCCTGCCTCCACCTTTGCCCAGGTCAGACTGACCCCTGTGCCTCTGGTGCAGGACTTATGTAGCCCCTTATCTAGGTCCTTTTC